GCCTGCCTGACTGCCCTGCAGATCCTTGCTAGGGTGTATCCCTAACAGCCAGGGTAACTGAAGAGGAGGGTTTTAGATTGAAGAATGGCAATTTTTTAAATTCCTCTTGTTCTGCATTCTTTTGGAATGGGCAAGAGACTAACAAATAAGAAATCAGCCGGAATATGGTTCAGACATCCAGGTAAACAAATAATTCCAATTATTATGGAATGTGTTTTGTGCACAGTTCTTGCTATTTTAATGCCATTATTCTCAGGCATATAGCATATATTGCACCATCAAGTGAATTTAAAATATGCTTCATTTTCTTAGCAGAAAACCACATTCTTTTCAAAAGGCTAGACATTAAGAACAGATCAATAATTCTATGAAATCTATTGTGATTTCAGAGTTTTCCTTAGATGTCTCAGATATCCAACAATTTTCCTACCCCGAAGGGTTAGAGTGTAGATCAGCACACTTCTGTTAATAACAACAGCTTTAGTTTTCATTTTCTTACCCACAAACTCCATCCTTTTTGTTCTCCACACTCTCGGTTACCGATGTCTCTCCATCTTTTGCATCTTGCATTATAGGACCTTCACTTTCTAAAGGATGCTGTTCTGCATCTACAGGCATTAAATCTCCAGTCTTCTGAGGCAACTTATTCTGAACCTGTTCCAAAACAGAACAATATTTCAATTCCAGAAAAATCATCTCTGTTTGCTATCTCCAAAATACATTGGAAAATTGATACAACCTTAGAGGGGGTTAAAAAAATGGACTTCTTTATTTTTTTATTTTGCTTTATTTCTTTTTCACGTTATTACTTTTCCCTATTCTTACTTTCAGTTTAAAATCTATATTGTTTTTCAGTCTATTGAAAACTTTTTAAATAAACAAGACAAAAACCATTTGAAAATTGACAGCAACTGTGACATTTGTAAATTTTAAAAACATTTCAACATTGATAAATATTTACCCGCCCATTTAAGCATGAAATAATTTTAATAAAATGCTAAGAACATCATTCAAGTAGGAATAATAACAACTTGAAAATTATCACACCAGTGCTATATTCTGGGGTTTTGTTTGCTAATCTATTCAATCATCTATTCTTAGTGAAAATTAGTGAAAATACACTTATTCTCCAATGTAAATACTAGAATACAGTTTGTTAAAAATCTCAGTGGCTTAAAGAATTACTATAGGAATAGTTTTCATAGATTACATTCCACTTCACTGAATGCATTGTGCTTTTTATTTGCAACATGGCATAAAAGGTACATCTGAAAATGCCGCAAGTTTCTTGTAGTTACTTGGTGCCGCCCGTTTTATTGGATCTTTCACTATCAGGCAACTTTTGCTAGATGATAACCAATCTCCAATTTCATCTCCTTGAACTATACTGCTAAAGTGCTTGGCAAATGAGTAAATATAGACCAGTCAGACATTTCAACCAAAAACCATGCAGCTCATTTTTTCACCTGATGCTGACCAGTTCTTGATCTTTCTTGCCCTTTTTTTAGCCAGGCTGCATTCTACTTGTATTTCTTTGGATTGCCCCATTAGTGTTCCCAAAGATGCACTGTTTCTTCTTTGTCATGGGTTTGACTGGTTCACTGCAGTCTCTCCACTGATGGGTTGCTTGGAACAGTTCTGATTAGACTGAAATTGAAGATTCTGCCAATAATATGCAATTTGACCTTTTTATCTGTTGATCTTCTTGGATATAGCTGTTATTTGCCATTCTACTGTTATTTGTAATTTAACAATAATGCAAAATACTATAGCTGCCTACACCCATTGATTCTGGCGTGACTTCTGCTGCTTGATTTGGTTTCTTTTCTGTGTATTTATCAAATTTAGAAACTTCCAATCTCACTCTTCCTAAGGAAAGGTGAATAAACATTCTTATTCATTGATTAATTAATGAAATGTATATATCAATTTATATTTATATATCCTCCCATTTCACTGAAAATAACTCTGAGCCGCATGCTCAAAGGGTAAAACTGCATATAAAAAACACAAATATAAAAGATATAAAAATCACATTAACAGTAAAGAGGGGATAAATCTAGCCAGCTCATCAATGGAGCTATATCTAAGCATGTCTCCAGTTCCCTGGAAGCCCAAGACCAGATAACATAACTACGTTTCGAGGCCCCTCTGAAATATCGAGAGATGGAGCTAATCTAATTTTGAGGCGGAAGAATGCTTCGTGCAGCAGATGTCATAGCAGAGAAGGCATATCTCGTGGGAGTCAGCAAATGTATGTCCATAGCTGATGGCACCTGCAGCTTTTTTTTCTTTTTCTTTTGCCAGATCTAATTGGGTGGGCTGATGCAACCAGGGAGAGGCAGTCCCTCAGACAGCTCAATCCTATGCCATGTAAGACTTAATAGATCAAACCAGCATCTTCAATTGGACTTGGAAGCAAACCAATGGTAACCAATGCAGCTTACAGATAGGGAACGTGTGCTGTTCTAGGCGTGCACATTACTGTCCATGCTGCTGTACTCTGTACCAGCCAAAGCTTCCAGATACTTTTCAAGGGCTGCTTCACATAGAGCGCACTGCAATAGTCCAATCTGAAGAAAACTAAGGCATGAGTGATTGTAATCAGGACCTGCCGATCCAGGAACGGGGCCACATTCTTGCATTGTTGTTTCTTATGCCCAAAGCAATTTGAGTGGAGCAAAGATTTAGCGAACACATCAAAGACAGTGGTAAAGATTGACTTTTTCTACGTGTGAGCTAAAGACAAATTATTCATACGTCTATTCTCAATATACAATAGGCCACAAATATTTGGAACAGGTCTTTACATATGCTTCCTTTTTCTATTGTACACATATCAAGGGCACCTCTCCCAGCTGCTGTCAGGAAGAGTGCTAATTTCTGTTTGGTACCCTCTTTATGGCATCCAGTTGCTCTGAAGCACAGAAGAAATGCTTTGTTGAAAGGGCTGCCTTTGGCCTTCCACAGTGCCAGAATGCTTCTGTTCTGAGGGAAGCTTCAAAGCAGCCTTTCTTTCTCTGCAGCTGTCACCAGTCAGCTACCACCAAAGGGGGCATATTCTCCAAGGGTAGCTCAGTACTACAATTGACTTGTGGTTTGACTGTGCAGTAACACTCAGATGTACTTCTTTTAATAAGCTAACAGGAGAGTTTTGTTTTGTTGGGCCAAAACTGGGTCTCCAGCATGTCACGATTACTGCAGAGAAATTCAGATTCACTTCTAAAACTATGTGTTATTCATTTATGGAGAGCCAGTATCAGAAGAGAAGTCCTGATTGTAGTTATTAAGATCAGTTTAAACTCAACTCTGACCTGGAGCAAAAAAGTATTTTGCATAGAGCTTTTGCAGTATTTTCAAAGACCAGACCATTTCTCCCCATAACATAGGTGAGGTTCCACTTTTGATATACAGGTGAAACTCGAAAAATTAGAATATTGTGCAAAAGTTCATATATTTCAGTAATGCAACTTAAAAGGTGAAACTAATATATGAGATAGACTCATTACATGCAAAGCAAGATACCGTATATACTCGAGTATAAGTCGACCCGAATATAAGCCGAGGCACCTAATTTTGCCACAAAAAACTGGGAAAACTTATTGACTCGAGTATAAGGAAGCAGAGGCAGCCTCTAGGCTCAGAAAACAACACGAGCCGAGGTGGCTTCGTTTCCTCAGCCCCAGCTGCTTTCAGTCCGCTCGGGAGGAGGGGGAGGAGGAGGTGGTGGTGGCGGCTCGTGTTATTTTCTGAGCTCTAGGCTCGCGATCTCAGAAAACAACGTGAGCCGCCGCCACCACCTCCTCCTCCCCCTCCTCCTGAGCGGACTGAAAGCAGCTGGGGCTGAGGAAACGAAGCCACCTCGGCTCGCGTTGTTTTTTCTGCTTCCTTTCGCGTTGTTGGATCTTCCGTCGCTTTTGCCTTCTCCCTATGTCTTCCCTCTGTTAAAATCCCCCCACACACACACTTATTTTCAGGCAGATAGATTTCGTGTCTGAGCATTCTCACATGATGGTGGGTCTTCCCCCCCCCCCTAAAAACAGTTAAATAAAGAAAAAACAATATATCCTCATGCAAGAACTTTTCTGCTTCCGATTACCCCCATGCTTACAAGTTGCAAAGGAAACACGGAAGCAGGGAAGCGGCTGCCCAGCTCCAGAGCTCCACACCAATTTTCTTTCAGAGGGAATCTCACTCGAGTATAAGCCAAGGGTTTGTTTTTTTTCAGCACAAAAAATGTGCTGAAAAACTCGGCTTATACTCGAGTATATACGGTAGTTCAAGCCGCGATTTGTCATAATTGTGATGATTATGGCTTACAGCTCATGAAAATCCCAAATCCACAATCTCAGAAAATTAGAGTATTACATGCAATCAATAAAACAAGGATTGTACATAGAACAATATCAGACCTCTGAAAAGTATAAGCATGCAGATGTACTCAGTACTTGGTTTGGGCCCCTTTTGCAGCAATTACTGCCTCAATGCTGTGTGGCATGGAACCTATCAGCCTTTGGCACTGCTGAAGTGTTATGGAAGACCAGGATGCTTCAATAGCGGCCTTCAGCTCTTCTGTATTGTTCTGTCTCATGTCTCTCATCTTTCTCTTGGTAATGCCTCATTCTTCCTCCAGACTCTGGGTCCTTGGTTTCCAAATGAGATACAAAAGTTGCTCTCATCAGAAAAGAGGACTTTGGACCACGGAGCAACAGATCAAATCTGTTTTTCTTTAGCCCAGATAAGACGCTTCTGACGTTGTTTGCTGTTCGGGAGCAGCTTGACAAGAGGAATACGACATTTGAAGCCCATGTCCAGGATCCGTCTGTGTGGTGGCTCTTGATGCACTGACTCCAGCCTCAGTCCACTCCTTGTGGAAGTCCCCAACACTTTTGAATGGCCTTTTCCTGACAATCCTCTCCAGGCTGCAGTCATCCCTGCTGCTTGTGCACTTTTTTCTTCCACACTTTTCCCTTCCACATAACTTTCTATTAATGTGCTTTAATACAGCACTTTGGGAACATCCAACTTCTTTTGCAATTACCTTTTGAAGCTTTCCCTCCTTATGGAGGGTGTTAATGATGGTTTTCTGCACATCTGTCAGGTCAGCAGTCTTTCCCATGTGTGTGATTCCTACTGAACCAGACTGAGAGACCATTTAAAGGCTCAGGAACCCTTTGCAGGTCTTATGGCTTAATTAGCTGATTAGAGTGGGACACCTTGAGCCTAGAATATTGAACCTTTTCACAATATTCTAATTTTCTGAGATTGTGGATTTGGGGTTCTCATGAGCTGTAAGCCATAATCATCTCAATTATGACACATCACGGCTTGAACTATCTTGCTTTGCATGTAATGAGTCTATCTCATATATCTGGTTCATCTTTTAAGTTGCATTACTGAAATAAATGAACTTTTGCACGATATTCTAATTTTTTGAGTTTTATCTGTATAGTAATATCTTCATAGTAAACAATGAATTATGGTGAAATGTGTGCAAAACTAGTACAAGAAATCCTTCCAAACAATACAGTAATGATTGTTGATAAGACTATAATCAGCACTGCTAATGTGAAGATATATTCTGCACACATTTACACTCTCAATTGTCTGGGTATTGTTTTTTCAAACTTAAGACCATTTCCATTTCCTTGTTACTTTACTGCTTACATTGCAACTTCAACTTTCCCCTGAAGCCCATTTTTTTTCTTAAATTGACAACTATGTGATGAAATGAACTCAGACCTGCAAAAGTCTAGGTCATAATTAACCTCTTAGCCTATAAGATGCCATGGATTCCTTTGCTCTTTTGCTGCAAGCAAAAAAACCAATCCAACAACTCTTTAACAAATTATTGTTTAGAAATAGCACTTCCAGATAAAACATCACATGTATATTACAATAAAGGGAAAGAGAAAGTATGAATCAAGGATGCCCTCCAAACATAGTGCAATGTTTTTTTTCCTGCATGAAGAAGAAAAATAATATGAAGTACTAGTTTCTTTTATGGAAACATAATCCCTGTTTTTTAAGCTCTATTCCTTGTATAAGGCTTAAAAATCTAACCTCACTAGACAAGGGTTCTGGATTAAATTTGTTTATTTTTGCTTAATTATATATCCAAGGGCTCAGAATGCCTAATTTGAGGTGAATTTTCCGTGGATAATTTCTCACCTCTCTCCATCACAAACTTCAATATTCAGCTGTGATCCAGTTTCCAAAGTAGTTTCCTATGAAGCATGCTATTTGTAATTCACAATTATTTCATGGTATTTCTAAAACTCTTATCCTTTTAAAACATACAAGAAAATGTTTTTAATAATACCAAACATTACCTTGGGCTGACGCTTGTTCCATGGCATAGGTGATTTTTTAATTAATACAGCAATGAAGAAACCTCCAGTATTCTGGTGATGTGGTAAAATTCTAAAACTAGATAAGCAACATGGATGTTGTATCAATAGGCATATTATTGGGCTTACTTAACTCTGCCATCAGAAAATGATTTTAAAAACTTTAAATTAAACATGATCATTTTTTGCATGATTTTGTACAGCCAATTTGCTTGCTTTAGTTATATATCTTATTAAAGAGGACTCAGGATCTAAAATTTAGTAATTACAGCTGATCTATGGCCTCTTCCATCCCAGAACAGCTTTGTTCAGTAAGCATGGGACCTGTATTTCCTTGGAACAGCACAACCGAGATTTCAAGGGTACTGTGAGTGCTGATCAAAAATTAAACATCTCTATCTACCCCAAACTCAGGAAAGACCTTTGGGTATGGCATAATGAATTACCATCAATTCTAGTGAGGAGATACCTCAACATTCCCTGATCTGAATGAGTTTGCCCTTATGGTTCAGAGGAGACAAAAACTGATGATGTACAACTGTACAGTATTCTCATACTCTTGGTTCCATCAAGAGTATCCAAGATACCAAATTACTATTATATCAGCCTATTAACCAATTTTAACATTATTACTACTACTGCTAAATTCTGTATTGCCAAGGCTATAATATGCTATCAAGTATTGTACTTTTGATTATCGGTTTTTAAGCAGTTTAATGTGGGAAATTGTTTGCCGTACTAATAAAAGAATTTGGAAATTGCTGGAGAAAAATAGCATATAAAATATTGCACCCTACTGCACCCAACTTGTAAAAAATGTTTTCTGGTGTTTTTCATTATTTATTTATTTTTGCTGAAATATCTCAGTGTGTGTCTTTGAAGGAGGATGGGAAGTAGGGGTTCCTGATACCGCTGGAACTTTATTAAACCCTTAAAATGTATCTCTACATCTTAATTTTTTTTAACTGTGTATGTCTCCCAGTTGGACAAATACTTGGCAACATTAAAGTGAACTTGAATTCAACACCACCTTACAGATATGACAACTTTACATACCAGCGCTCCAAATGTAATGCTTTAAGTTTTTGTTCATCTTTTAAAGGGAACATTGTGGGTCGAATCTGTGTATGCCTGCTAGGAGGTACTTCTTTCCAGTCTTCAAACCAATTACCATCTTTGGTCATTACCTAGGTGGGAAAATACAATGTCTTCCAAATCTTACTATTAATCTGCTCATCAAAGCAGCACAGCTCCCCTTTCTCTCATGAAATTTAATGCTGAAATATAACAAGGGCCAAGTGACTACCCGATCATCAATAAATTATATGGAAATTGGTTGCCTTGTAATATGGTTAAACTGGTCTGGGAAAAGATACCTTGAGAAAATATACCCTCTTGATGGTATTATTGCTAAAAGATCTCCAGCCAAGAGGTGCTTCCCACTCCCTTCTCCCACCACAGTGTTTATATAAATGATCAGAGGTGTTCCCTGCCCCCATTCCATTTTTGGGGCAGTTCACATTTTTAAAAAAATTTGGTTCCCACCTGTATAATTTTTACAAATATCTCAAGGCAGCGAGCAGAGCCAACACTTCTTCCTTCTCTTATTTTCCTTACATCAATCCTGTGAGGTAAATTGGGCTGAGAAGGAGTGATTGGCTCAAAGTCACCCAGTTGGCTTTCATGACTAGGCAGGACTTGAACTCATGGTCTCCTTCTTTTTAGCCTGTTGCCTTAACCACTAGACCAAACTGGCTCTCCTAAGCAGAAGCATAAAATGCATCACTGTTTATATAGCATGCTTCAGCAATGAAGAAACCTCAGTGAGACTTGAAAAGGGCAATTCAGGTGAATGATTTCATTCTGAATAAATAATGAACCCATTTACTTTTGGAAATTTAGTTTGTTCACGTCTGATATAAATCCCTAAATGCAATACATATTTTTATAAAATTACCTTCCATTTTGTAATGCCTGGCAACCTTTTCAAACCTGGCAACTCAGAAGAGACATCAGCAAGTTCTAAGGCACCTTCAAAAAACCAAATCAAGATTATAAGCATTTGACTGGAAAAATCATTGCAAGTTATTTTTTCAATATCAAGAATAACTTCGTACCTTAAAAGTAAATCTGATACGAATTTAATTTGTATTGTAAATAGTTTCTAGTTTAATACATGGATTGAGGTTAGGATTAGCCATAATCCTACCAGCTTGTCAGCTCAAGAGAGAGCTGCTTATAAGAGCACCCAAAGGCATATTTTGTCAGTTAAATTTGCAAGTAAGTTTGAAAATAACTATGCCCCAGCGGCCATTATATTACTTAAAGTTCTGATCATGGTTATGATATTCCATAATGATGTACTATTAAGAGCTTAGAAGTCATTCAGTCAAAAATTTAAAAAATAATAACACTTGTCCATCATTCAAATTTTTATGCTTTAATCTAGTTAGAATCAGGATGCATCCTTTTGGGAGCTCAATTAAGATTCTATTGACCCAATTCTGCCAGAACCGAATCTTTTGGGAAACGTCCCTTCTCCACCTCACCTTGCTAAACTGGCATGGTGCTTTCCTAAAAAGATAAATTAACAATGACTTAACATACTGAGGCCTTTCCTCAATGCCATTTTCTCCCTTGTTTAGATAAACTGGCTGAACTGAAACAGAGAATTGGGATTTAAATATTTAAGCTGAGAGAATCAGGACTTCTAATGATTTCTATAGAGTAATTGCCCCCCCCCCCCCCCGCAAAAAACCAATCCACTGGTAGCTATTCATTTCATATCTACATGCTCCTTGTAAGAGGCTCTTTATTCTGACACAAATGGGAACTACCTAATAGGAGAACAATTAGCAGAAGCACTAACATTCCTTAAAAGCCAAACTTTCCTGTGCAAAGATGAAGGATGACTGTACCAATGTGCTGTTAAAATGCCCATTAAATACTGAATGATCAACATTCATAGCTAATTGTACATAATTGTTATTTTAATTGCTCCTGTGAGTATGGGATTACTGCTCTTCTTTTATGTGATCAATGCTCAGGTGAGGCTGCAAAATTTCCATCAATAGCTATGGGTTTTAGAAGCCACTGGTGCTGCCTTTATTGTATCAGACTTTTCTGCTTTTTTCTATTTTATTCACCATATTTGCTGATCACCCATGGATTGTACTATGTACAATATTTGTAATGCTTAGGCTTAGACTCAAGTACCAGTAAATCATTTCCTGCAGAGGCAGCATGGTTCATTTGTGACTAGAATCAGAAAAGAAACATCATGCCACCTGTATTTACTCAGCTATAATTTCTAGAAAGATGACCTAGCAGCAGCTAGATTAAAATTAGAATTCCAACATAACAAATATTAAACTAACCCAGATTTTCAATCAAGACCCTGCCCTGCAAGTTCAGGCAAAAGAGTAAGCTTTATCTTCTTTTTGACCTAACTAAAATACCATTTTCCCTTTAAACTATACACACCTTCACTTTTTTCCAGCAGAGAACTAATGACAGCTTCATTTTCAATAGGATTCAATGAACAGGTAGAGTACACCATTCTACCTCCTTCTGCTAGCTGTTCGGCTCCACGAGTTGCAATCCTTAGCTGCAGTCTGCATAGAAAATATTGTTCAAAACTTAATTAGCAGGGCATGAAATCTGAAATTAGAAATTAATTATATTGTTTGTATCCTTGGAGCTACAGATATCCTGTTAATTTTCAGGTAAGAACTGAACCAACTTGTTCACTCTAAAATCAATGCATGGAAAGATTTTAGAGCCGATCAAAAAAAACCAATCAGGCTGTAAGTACATTGAACACACTGTCTTAACTACAAAAAAAAAAAAAGAATTATCAGGAAACTAAAATGATCTCATTTTTAACATGTAGGTAGCTTCTCTAGTAAATATAAATATAATTGCATGTGTTGATTCCAATAAACCATTTCACAAAATAAAATTATGAAATTGTGAAATAACTGCTGTTGAATACCATGAACATTTGAATACACAATAGTTATATTCAAAGAATGCTCATAAAACAGTTCCTTAACAAAGAGAGAGCAGATGCTACAAGGTTTAGTTCTAGCCCTGTTCTTTCCAGTGTGGAATGTTAATGATCTTAACAGAATATCTACCAAATCTGAAAGTGACATGCAATTGTGTAGGAGAGCTAATACCACCACAGAAGACAGAAATAATCTTACTAGATTACAGCATAGCTAACAAATGATTGAGTGGTTAGAGCCCACAACTTTGTCCTCCTGACCTTTTGGGGTTTCAGGAATCTTTTTATGTGGATTGAAAGGGTGGGAATAGAAAAAGGAGGTTTCCTGGACAGAAGCCACATTCATTCCACTCATGACTCCAAATCACACCACTATAATTAAATCAATTTGTTAAACTGTTGCTGAAATTAAATCACTGTTCTGCAATGTAATATAAGGGTCACATACAACCATTCAGAATATCAATCCCTCACTTAGACAAAGGGGTTAGAATATCAAAATTAAAAATATGAAATATAATGGACGCATAAAATTATGCACTTAGGAAACAGAAATCAAAGTGGATAATATCTGTAAAGCATATTAAAAAATCTTGGAACGACATATTGCAAACTGAATCTAAGTGTAATATGGCTACAGAATAAGACAAAAGTAGTTTTAGACTGTATCAATAGAGGCAGTTACAAATAATCAGAAGTAAAATGTTCCACTTTGTGTTGGTCAGTAATCTTTCCAGTTGCTGGCACCATGCTAAGAAGAGTTCAGCCAAAGTGGAAGAAACAAAAGAATGAGGCCAAGAAACAGCTCTCTAAACGAAGACTGAAGGAGGCTGGCATTTTTAGTCTTGAGCAAAAAAACTAAGGAATGATAGTACTCTTTAAATACCTAAAAGTATGTATGTCATGCAGAAAATGGTCATGAGTATGGGACATTGTACACTGGATATAAATGTTAAAAAACCAAAACATTTAGCAATAAGGGAAGTTAGTTAGGGGTACAACTAATTAACTAGAGGTTAATTAACTGAGCAGTTTACAGAGTCAGCATATTTCCCCCAATAATCTGGGTCCTCATTTTACCCACCTCAGAAGGATGGAAGGCTGAGTCAACCTTGAGCCGGTGAGACTCAAACTGCCAAACTGCAGCCAGCGGTCAGCAGAAGTAGCCTGCAGTAGTGCATTCTAACCACTGCGCAACCATAGCTCAATAGAAGTGGCAGCCTTCCTTTAGCTGGATTGCCAAAAATGCAAATAGGCTCTAATTTGGATTGCTGCACTGAGCAGCAAATTGGATTCAATAGCTTAAATGGCCACTTCCCACTTTAGAAATATTAGAATAAACTTGTCTGGCTTTTGTGGTGGAATGGGGAATCAGAAAAATAAAAATAAATTGAAATCTATCCAAAATATATACCTTGGAATATATTTTTTTAAAGGGGGGGCGGGTGTCTGGCAAATGATGCAAATGAGGCATATTTTTATGTCAATTTACCTCACATTAAAATTTTCTATACATGGAGAGAACTGGGCACAATGCAGTCCATAGGCTGCAAACAGAATAGAGTGGTAATATCAGAAATCCAAGTTTTTATTTTTGCATATAAAAAAAAGTCAAGACATTAATCAAATTCTTAATTTCATTTCAAAAGTTGAAAGAAATATATATTTTCCTACCCGTGTAGTTGCAAGCTATTATGTGTACTCCACTTTTTCCATATATCAATATTTTTTCTCAAGGTTCCATCTCCACTAAAAGAGATATTTCTACATTAATTCCAAGACTGTGAAAGTTATGTGTTCTGAGCAAGTTGCAATATAACATTTTTATACAAATAGGTTGAAATTACAGTAGTGCGTTTTTAAACAGTTGGCATTTTTCAAAGTTAATATTTTATTAGTGTAAAACACAAGTGATATTGTGTACAATAGTATTTATACAGCAATGATTAGAAGCTATGAAAACTCTGATGATAACTTAAACCTTTAAAGATAAAGAGAGAAAAATTCATGTAAATATTAACTATAATTTCTAAAATGTTTAGAATACCATTCTCCATGATGTAAAAGTTAAACAACCTTATGCTTATCAAGATTTCTAACTTTCCCCTTCTTTATTCCTCAGTTTGTGGTGTTTATAAATATTTAGGCTTTCTTAGAAAGATTAGTGCATTTTAATTGACACAAAATAAATGGAACAGAACTAGCTCCAGTGTTGATTAACCAACTTGTTTATAACTTGGATTTCAATGGCCAGCGCTCTAGGCAATTCTGGGTGGCTTACAAGAGTTAAAAACAGTGATATAAGAAAGCTGTCTTGAAGGCAAGCAGGCTCAGGGAAAAATATTACTGAGAAAACAAATCTTCTAATCCAACAAGATGACATTGTTAACAGAGGAGATGCAAAGCATTCCAACCCTGTCACAATCTTACCATATGAGCAAAGGAGAAAGGCATTCCTACAAATATTTGTGAATGACAACTAGCATGTTGAATTTATCGATTAAAAAACTCAAAAGACTCAGTCATTATTTGGTGCAGCTGTAGTTTGGACTAATTATAGCTTCCAAAAACTCTTCAAGGAACCTTGTCCTCCAGCTCCACCATAGACGCAGGACAAGCCTTCTACCACACAATGGTCCCGGCAAGTTGTGTGTTGCAATAGACATACTAAATGTACCTGTCTGGATGATGATCTTAACTGGGGCTTATTTTTCAGGTAGGGCTTATATTACGAGTATCCTGAAAAATCATGCTAGGGCTTATTTTCTGGTTGAGTCTTATTTTGGGGAAAGCTCTATAGCAACAGAAATTTCAGTTCTAATTACCTCATTAAGCTGTGACTACCTGTAGTAACCAAGCTGCTGGTACCAATAAGGGTTGTTAAATGAGGGTTGCCTGTACAGTTTGTAGAACAGGGATGTCAAACTCAAATCATCACGACATATCACAACTGTTTTCCCCTTTGCTAAACTGGGTGTGGGCACGGCCAGCGCATACCACATCCGGCCCGCAGGCCGTGAGTTTGATAGCCCTGCTGTAGAACATTTTGTACCAATTTTCTTTTAAGTTATAACTTGATGTAAATTTTATATATTTATTCTATAATTCTTCCTATTGTTGTGTTGCAACAGCTTCTTTATAATTTTACATCCATATTTGTTTATATTTGATGTCTTAACAATTAGTATTAGAAAAGTATGCCACAAACAATATACTGGCTTAAAATTTAACATAGTTTAACTTACCTGCAAGGAACATCACATAATATTCTGTCATAGAAGAGGATCTCTTTTTTACCATTTTTATTGAGCTGTATATTAGGGATACTTGAGGCATCATGATTTATAACCATAATACAAGGACTGTTCAACCGCTTTGCCTGATGAACTAGCAGATAACAACGTTTGTTATCTACATCATTTGCAATTACAAATCCCTCTAGGAAAAAAAAATAGAAAACCTTCTGGTTAAAAGAGAATCATCACTTGGGAGGTGGGAGAATTACTTTTTTCAATTACTATTAGTCCAAATAAGATCAAAATATTAACTACATGGAATCAAGAAAATGTAATTTTTTCATACAGTTACCTTTAATTTATAACATTTTATATTATCTTTTCAGAGGACCTAGGATACAAAATAATTAGCACAGAACAAAATTTGGCAACCTCAGTTATAAAACAAATTTAAAGCACAACTAATACTCATCCAATATTCAAAATTAAATGTGAAACACCGGTTTAAAAAGTATAGCTTCTAATGTTTTTCTGAAAGCCAGCCTAGTTAAGGCCAAACATAAGGTATCTCGCAGAATAAAGACTTCTGGCTATATCCAAACATTTAGGACCATTTTATTCCATAGGATATATGAGTGGTAGCAGTGATATAGCTGCCATTTTACCATTGTTTTGTAAATTGGCTTCAGTCCAATTAGTCAGTATACAAGTGGTAAAATGTGAGAGCATCAATATAGTAATATGGATAGAAAAAATGGACAGGAGCAGAAAATCATAAAAGGAATTCCCACAATTTACAGAAAAAAAAATGTATGCACAGAAAATGGTGACAAGTTGGAGAAAACCAAAAATTTATGAACAAGAATTCTAATTCTTGTCCTTTCATGTGGACAATCCATACAAAAAGATACTCTCTCAAATGACAAATTAAATCTAGCACAAACAAGTACTGAAAACAATAAACACATTCACACATGCTCTTATATTATTAAAATGTATAGGTCAGGATGCCCGATAGGTATGAATAGCAGGTAAATTCCATGGATAAATAGCAACTGGATGGTGGTCTCGTAAGTCTTTTATTACAGAAAAAGACAGCCACAACATTTATCATATAACATTATGTGGTTTTAAAGTCTCCCTTTATGTCACCCTAACACAAAGCTGGCTTTAATAATGTGAATAAACATTATTGAAATGTTGTTTACTCACATTTGTAGTGAGTAAATCACCTACTCACATAGTGATAAGTTAACTGGGGGGACCAAAAGCTATAGTGCAAGATCAATGCTGAAATACGAAGGGATTTTAAGATGAAGTCAATAATCAATTTAGTAAACCTAACTGCATTTATCAAAATACCATAATTAAAATGTATTTATTACAGCTACTTTTATAGGCTGCTTCAATCTGGATTACTGAATTAAAAATTTCCTTCATTTACCTGGAAAAGGAATACTCATGTCTGCATGAAGCATCTCAATAAGTTGGGCAGTCTTGGACCCAGGTGCAGCACACATATCTAGAATCTGTCAAGATTGAGATGTTTAACAGAGAAAGAGATTGATATTATTTAACAAACTTAAAGCATATATGTTTATATATAGCAGTATTTGTACAGAGATTTGGGAAGAAAACTTATAGAATTAAGGGCCTTGCATTCAGCAAGTCAGTATTAAATTCTTCAAGACATTATTATTTTTCAGTTACAGTTCAGGCATTCTAATTCTGATGTAGTCATTATAGCTGAAAATAACTATCTTGCAAGAAAAAAAATCACAGAAATTCAAGTATGTTTTAAAAGGCACCTACTGTACTTACATGTTTGCAGAATCCACAATTATATATTTTCAAGTTTAAAATGAATAAAATACTGTGCAACCACCCAATAATTTGACCAAATAGAAGAGCCTGAACCTCCTGATTTAAAAACTGTATGGAACACTGCTTTTTTTCCTTCTATGATCTCATCTTAACCCTAACCCAGAAAAAGGCAACAATAAAAAAGAAGGTGAGATGGGGGGGGGGGGCTAAGTCTGGGGCAAACTTTCCCCCCATCTTTTGGAACATAAAGCAAAATAGGAAGGTACCAACAGGTGGACTGGAAAACTCCAGCCGTGTAAGGCATTATATTTTTTAAAAAAAATGAATGTGAAATCATACTTTACATTAAATGTTGAAGAAAATACAGGTGGAAATTGTTTGAACGCATGGATAATACAAACATAAAAATGAAATATATCAATGAACTGATAAATCAGGGAAAAGATAAGGCAAGTGTAAAATTTTATTTTTAGATATTTAAAGACAGAGAAGGCTACACTGCATTCTATTCTTTTACAATGAATTTTGATTAACCAAATTAGAAAAGATATTCAACACTAATGTGTAGTATTAAGCATCAATGTGCATGTTTCTTTATGCTTTTTCTGCAAAACAATTTCAGAAATTATAATACAAGAATACCTTATGATGAGGCTGAATATTAAGAAGCAATGGAGGGATCATACTGACAGCTTCCTGACGACTAATATTTCCCTAAAATAAAATAAATACAGTGTACAATTTCACTTTCATCTTATATTTATATACATGGAAGAAAACACAAACCATATCTACACAAAATACATCTTTATTTACTTAATTATCTTAAATTTAGATAATCCCCTGAATGAGGAACTTCCAGAAAATTCCAAAGCTATAAACTAGATTTGTCAACTTAAAAAAAATCTCTAAGAAGTTAAAACTTCCATATACTTCTAAGAAAATTATATAAATTGTCCACAAAATGAGAAAGAGATGAGCTCAACTTGTAGAGATGATAAAATAAAAATGAGCAGAAATGAAGTTTTATGCAATATTTTAGATACAATATGATCTTTTTTCATTGTGATATCCATACATGTCAACCTTTATAAACAATTAATTTATAAGTCACAACTATCAGGTCTTCAATTCACTGTGTAAATGGTGCCATTAATTTTCAATGTTGAAGGGCTAGTTTTTGAATAATAGGAAAGGTGTGGAAAATTCATTTCCAATGCCTCAATTTGCATGTAGTATATGTTTGTTCATTTATTTATTTATATTCCACTTTTATTATTTTTACAAACAATTCATGAACATTTCCAACACACCTTCCTCCTATTTTTCTCACAACATCCTGTGAGTGAATTGGGCTGAGACAGTGACCAGCCCAAGGTCAGCCAGCTGGCTTTCATGGTTAAGGTAGGACTTGAAGTCATGCTCTCCAACTTTCTAGTCTGGTGCCTTTACCACTAGACTAAACTGGCTCTATTCCAGTGGTGGAATTTAAAATTTTTTACTACCAGTTCTGTGGGCGTGGCTTGGTGGGCATGGCAGGGGAAGGATACTGTAAAATCTCCAGTCAGATGTGGTATTTGCCAGTTCTCCGAACTACTCAAAATTTCTGCTACCGGTTCTCCAGAAGTGGTCAGAACCTGCTGAATACCTCTGCTCTACACAGTATACAGAGACAGTAGTTCAAAAGACTATGCATGTTCCCAATATTAAACCCTATCTCAAAATCAAATTATAATTACTTCTCAAAACAAAATTTTGACATCTCAAAAATGAAATTTAATACAGCATTATTTACAACAAGGCTATCTCCTACTATGAACTAGCTATATTACTATATATTCTGGCAGTCAGAAATGTAAGATATTGAAGTACTAATATGAACAAAATCTTTTTTTCTCAAATTTGAATCACAATTCACAGGGTTAGGATTTAAAAATAATATGCAGGCTTTTTTACTATTTCAAAAGAAATGATATTTCGATAGTGTTCCTATTCCAAACATATTAGAAATATGAAAGGCAGCTTGCCCACAAACTCTGAATAAAAAGTTTATTGAATGCAAGAAATCATATGAAGCCCATAATGAAAAGTAAAAACAGCAAGTTAGGTAATACTTACACATTCAGTTTCACTAACAAGAAAATGATGAAATTTTTCTAACTGTGGAGATTTCCTCAAGATTTTCCGATTTAGGTTTGTATGCCATGCCAATTCCTCAGGATACCTAATAAAACAAAACATCTTAAAGTATCCACAGAAACTCTGTACTGGCATAAGAGATTGCAACTGCATTTTAAATTGAATGCACATAAACTCCCTTCTATGTACTTATGAATATTTATGTTAATATGTTAAAAGAAAAAAACTTATGGGGGGGAATTGTTTAATTTTCCCTACAGATGGGAAAATGAAAAAAAGTAAGGCAAGCAAATGCTTGCAGCAAAGTAGAAGGTAAAGTAGAAGATTGCTGCAAGGAATCAATGTTTTTTAAAAATGATAATTTTACCCACTCATGAGAAGAATAAAAGTAAGTTGAATAAAGTCAGAACAAGTTACCTAAAAGTGTCCATGGTACATCACCCATGTTCTTCCCCATCCCAAGTCCTGCTGTGCAGCCTAAGACAGCAGAAGGACGAGTGCAGGTGTGTTTACATCCTCAGCAGGGTCACTCAAGGAGTTAAGGTCATACTAGTTGCACCCAGACAGAGAAGTATCTGCCGCTAAGGTTGAACTCTCAATCTCCCAAGTGGGAGGTGAGCATCTTCACCACTAGACCACCATGCCATTCTATGTATAATATACAATGATTAACAATATTGTTACCAGATGATGGACTCAATTGGATGGCACTTAATATAAAACTGAGGAAAATGTGAGGATTTTTCAGAATATTTTCGGGGAAAGCTCGCAGGAAAGATTGCAGATTATGACCACACAATCATAGAGTGTTTGGCAACTGGTCATAAGTGCAAATGGTTTGTCAAGCACCAGATTGTGATCACGTGACTGTGGGGGCACTGTAACAATAACTTCAGTGACCAGTCATAAGTTGCTTCACTCAGCCCCATCGAACTTTGAACAGCTATTGAACAAATGGTGGTAAGTACCTGTATTGCCAAAGACATGGTTATTAATTACAGCATTAAAGACATGGCTAAGTGCTAACTGGAGTATGAACAGATTCTAAGTTAAGCTAAATAAGAAAAAGAAAGCCAATCAGTTTCCATGATCTGATCTTGAACATACACTATTATCAAGGAGAACATGAGGTTTTTCACTTTAAAGTCCTGAACCTCATTGATAGAGACCCACAGGAACTTTGCAATGAACTTAAGAAGATACTAAGTATGATTGTGAAAAGAAACTGCCAAAGATGAAGAAAGAGAAAAACACAAACTAGATATCAGAACTGTGAAAATTGTCAAGCAGACTAAGAGATGCTAAAATTAAGAAAGATAAAAATTTCAAGTACGAACTTAGCAAAGCTTTTCAGAGAGCTTTTAGAAGACACAAGAAAAGCAGTATTGCATTTTTGCAAACACTATGATGGAAACAGCACAGAAAATCAATGAAAGTTTTTCAAAATATTTCTAAATTCAGGAAAAGGTCACCAATGGACAAATAACTGAATCAAAAGAGATCAAATAACGATAAATGGAGTACATTGAACTACAGTACATCTAAGAGTCCAATATCTTAGAAGATATCCCTTAGTTACCAGAGCTTCTAGAACTAGAAAATAAAGTTAGATCACTATTCCAGTCATTATCAAATTAGAAGGCTACAGGACCCACAGAAATACGGCAACAGAAGCAAAATCAGCAAAAGTTCTAATCAAGAATGCCAGCAAATTTGAAGAACATAGTGGCCATCATCTGAATATCAACAAAGGAGATTTAACAAAATGTGCAAGCAATTGCACAATATCCTTAATTGTATATACTACTGAAATAAGGTATAGGCTTATCCAATACAGATTAGAGCCCTACAGATGTTCAAGCTGGCTTTAGAAAAGGCCAAGGGACATGAGACAATATTGATGATACTTGCTGTGAATCGAAAAATCAAAGAATACCAAAAAGAAGCCACTATGTGCTTGTAAGGAGATGAGAGCAAGGATGGTTTGCAAGGTTACAAAGTACAGTAAACAATATCAACTAGATCTAGTTCGATTTCCTGTCTTTTTTTCTTAATTGTCTTTAATGCATTTTGTTTATTCCTTAATTCTTTTCCTGATCTTTATGTTGTGGCTCCGGGCTTGGATTCAGCTCCTGTGATTGATATGAGTTCAAGTGAAGAGTTTATGGCAGAACAATATGAACCAGCCTGGCTTACTGATTGGACTGATAACCAGGATGAGGAGATGGACGTGACAAAGGACGACAGACCTGGTGTATTAGAATTGTCAGGACCTTTGACGTCCTCTGGTTCCTTATCTGATCAACAGCCGAGAATGGCTGACAGGGAAGTTTTGAGAGAGTCTTCTAGTGGAGATGAGAACTTGGAAAATTTGTGGTTAAATGTAAAAAATAGAAGACGGTTGAAAAGGCAAAATCAGCTGGAGCAAATGAGAAGGGCAAGTCAGTAAATTAGCACGTTGCCTTAATGAGTATAAAAGGACACAGCTGGGCTGGTACATTTCGCCAGGAACAAAATAACTATTTGAGTGAAGATGTTACAGCAAAGAGCTCTGAGGCTGAAAGATTTATTGCCAGGACTGGTTTGCCGGACAGAGTAAAGATTTATGCTGTGGTTTCTGCCAGCCGTTATCTTGTAAGACTTCTTTCCGTTTGATTTAATTGTGAAACAGCTGCTTTCTGTTTTGTTCGTTTGAATTTCGAAGGGGAGTCATAACATCTTTATATGATCTTTTCTAATGTGATGTGAATAATTACAAGTAGTATGCCTACAAGTATATTAAAGCCAATTTTTTTTTCTAGCATAGAATGGGAATTGGCATTGTACTTGTCATTAGTTAATGATTGATTTTTCATGTAATTTGGTTTTGATTGTAACAATAACTGACTAAATTTGGGACACTGTTCATCTTGTGAATAATTGTAGATACGTTCTTTCTTTTCTTTGTTAATATTCCTATAAAACTTACATCTATCCACAAAATTTAAAAAATGTTATGAAAATGATAGAAATATGGACATTTTAGAAATATTTCATTACTCATTAGTTAAGCAGATAAACCAGTAAGCATAAACCAGCATTTTGTCCATGAGCAATTGGCCAGAAATGTCTTTATTTTTAACATATTGCTACTTCCAAATATGTACAATCTATACAAAGCTAATACTCAGACCATATTACTAATAATTATTATGCCAGTCATAATTATATATACAAACTTACCAGCTTAATGGCTGTGGCATTTCAATCTTCTGACCATCTACCACCAAATTCTCTAATTCCTTGAAATACTTCTCTTTTAAACAACGGAGAATTTCGTTGGCATGGCTGCACAATGAAAAGAAACCCAATCAGAGCAAGATGAATCACAATCTAACCAAATTACTTTTCAACTTTACCAAATTCTTAATCTTATCTAGTTTCAGCTAAAATATTATGAAAAGCACATCATGCATTTCAGTGGCTGTCCAAAATCCAACTTGAATTCTAAATTACCACAACATGAAATAATCAAATTTCTCCAACATTGGCCGCTTTTGTTACAATTCTCTGCTACTGATCTCTGAATTTGAGATCCTTTCCCTGCGTATACAATAGGTTGCATCCTGTTTCCTGCGATGATCACAATCTCGTAAAATTGTCAAGTGCAGTTTGCTTCAGCTAAATTTAAACCCTTAAATAATAAGTTCCCTTTTATATTTTTCAAAACAACTGTGTTTTGACATACACACACCCAAAAAACCAAACAGATCTGACTTTGTAAAGTCATGTTTTTATTTACTTTTCAATTTCAAAACACACAAATGTAATTTTTAAAAATACCTGTACATACAACAGTCTGGCTGAAAAAGTTTCTTCTGCCTTTGAATCTACATACTGCATAAAGAGATATAAACTAACAAACTACACTTTTTAGTCTGGAAAAAAAAATCATACCCTTTAGTATTCCCTTTAAGTGTCCTAACTTAAAAGTATACACAGGCACACAAAAACATACATGGCATCCCTCCATGTATGTTTTTGTGTGCCTGTGTATGCTTTTTAGTTAGGACACTTAAAGTGTCCTAATCTGCAAGGGGAGAGGCAGATTTGGACACTCCAAATCTGCAAGGGGAGAGGTAATCTCATTCCAGTTGAACCGAAATATGTATTTCATTTTTAGCGCCAGCCATCTCACATGAACGCCCCCCCCCTCCCCCCCCCCCCAAAAATGTTAGGAAAGCCATTTGCCATTGGTTTCTTCAGAGGAGTTTCTACTTTCTATTCTGGAAACTCGTACAGCCTGAATATGTCCCAGTGGTGCCCCAGCTAGATGCCCACCCGATCTCGCCCATCAACCGAGATGAACTTAGTACCGACTCTTTACTGGTAAGAGACGGCAAGTAAAGGCTGCTCACCTCTTATAGCCTGTGATCCGCAGGGTGGCTGGCAGAGGCTCCCGCAGCGTGGCCAGGAAGCTCTCCCATTCCTCCTGAGGCACGATGCCCAGCTGCCCATAGTAGTGTTCAAACGACGCGTTCTCCTTCACGATGTCCGGATAGCCAGCGTCGGACCAACCCTAGGTGGGGAGGAAAGCAAGCGAGGAGGGAAGCCTCAACCCGAGTCCCATTCTCACGATCGGGATTCCTCATCGGCTCAGATCGATGATCTCACACCGGCGTCGGCCCCGCAGAAGCGGAGGAAATAAGGGAAGCCGGATGCTCAGTTAGCTTCTCTCGGCCAAGACCATCAGAGCAGGGGTCTCCAACCTTGGCCGCTTTAAGCCTGGTGGACTTCAACTCCCAGAATTCCCCAGC